CAGGTCGAGGCTGCGGTGCCAGGGAGCGGCCACTGCACTCCAGTCTGGGTGACAGAGTGACACTCCAACTCAAAAAAAAAAAAAAAAAAGAAATTTCTTGTGAGTATGTTTTAGTAAAGGATTTTTAAGATCTGTGGATAAAGACCATCACATTAATGTTATGGTTGGGTGATTTATATCAACAAGAATTTACTAGCACAGTCATGACATGGGCTATAATTGAGAATTCTAGTTACATATTTTGGGAAATTTAAGTTTTCTCTGACCCTCACCATTCATTAGAAGCTTAATTATGATACAACATGAGTAAACACGAGTTTATAGGGGAAGGTTATTAGAAATGAACTTTAATGGACATTTGTGGATGCTTAGAATGAATCTGTGCTCTATTATTAAAGCTGTTAAAATCTTTGCCATTTTCTGCCTGTCACACACATCTGCCTGAGATTTGACAGGCATTCACGCTAAACCATAAAATGTATTCTTCCAAATGAAACCATTCAGGAGAATCTCTGGTGTATTCTCTAGCAGTGTTTCACTAAATGACAAATTCAGCCCTGGAATGTTTATGAAAGAAATTGCACAATAATATAAAGTCACTCTGAATTTTTATTTCCTTAGATAAGGAATATGAGTCTCCTGGTAGAGAAGCTTGAGACGCTAGACAAAAACAATGTCCTTGCCATTCGCCGAGAAATCGTGGCTCTGAAGAACAAGCTGAAGGAGTGTGAGACCTCGAAGGGTGAAAACACTGTCATCCCCACTCCTCCCACCTCGGGTGAGCACGTCCTTTTTTAACCACTTGAGCCAGACACCATAAGGAGCTGTGAGTGGGATGGACAAGGGATTTGAGATTGCAGTGGTGAAGGAAGAAGGTCAGGTTTTTTGCAGTTCTGAGTATACTATTCTTTCAGGTTTTAAATCCCTTCCTTCCCCAAGTAGTCCTACATACTATCAAATTCTGGAGCTCACAGAGGAAGAGCACAAACAATGACTTGATTTAAAACGAAATTCACAAGTTACATGTATTCCCTTTGCATTTACCAACAGGTAAAAAAAAAATCTCCATGGTGATGGAGGAGCTATGAGGGAGCCCTGAGGGAAGCCTCTGCAATCTATGTGTGGCATTAGCTTTCCTGTGGATTATAAGGGCTGATTAGTTCACTTGCCTGATGAGCTGGGTTTATGCCTCGAATGCCCCTGCCCTCTGTCTCTCCTTTCTCCTCTTTAATTTTTAAAAAATTCTTCCCTTGAATGCACGCTGAATACCTGCTATATTGTATGTCCTGGGATTCACTGAGGACTGAGGGGGTGGCCTGACACACTGTAGTACTTCTGGGTGTGTCTCGCTGTCCCTCCTGGACTGTGAGAACCTGGAGTTTGGGAATGGTGTCTCACTCATGGGGTTAAGGACAGCACAGAGGTGGGCTTTCTGTAAACACACCCATGAATGGAGGCAGTGGAGTGTAGGGTTCAAGAGCATAGCTTTAGCTGGGGTCTCAAAGACCCCAGCTTTTCAACCCTGTAGCAAAAGCAAAATTTTTTTTTTAACATCCTCATTTGTAAAATGGTAGAATAACAGTACCTGCCTTGCAGAGTTGTTGCATAGATTGAGACGATACTTGGAAAGCTCAGTGCCCTATGATCAGCCCTTGTACACTGGCGATGGGCAGTATTAATAAAGGTGATAATGGAAGTGAAAACCTTGCTGTGAACAAAAGCAGTGCTAGATTCGTGTGTCCTGCAGTGCATCCCATCTGTGAACCAAACGAAGTTTCTCGAATGCAGAATTCAGTCCTGTCATTTAGGGACATTGATGTTACAGGGACCTTCTTTCTGTAGGTCCTGAGCATCTCAGCCTGAATGGGAACTGTATCTTTTCATCAAACCATGCTGCCGTTTTATTTTTATTGGTTCTAATTCTCACACCTGTTTCCTTTTAGACTGCCTGTTTCCGGATTCTTGTCAATGTAGCTGGTTTCTTTAAAGCTTTAGTGAGATATGGCTATAGTATAAGCCTCTTTGTCTTGTTCAGGCAGGTGACTTTTTTCCTTCCCTCTAGAACTGGGACTCTGTCCTAGTATGACATGTCGAGGAGGTTTAGGGCAGAGACCCCGGTCTGTCCTTTATAATAAAGTAAGACTAAATTTGGCCTAGGATTAGTCGTGTAAACATGAACGGGAAATGAAAGCTGGTTCTGCTGGGCCACAGAGAGCTCATTGAGGCAGGAGTCAAAGCAATGTCAACTCCTGATAATTCCTGAACAACTCCCCCCTCCCCTAACACACACTCTTCCTTATCGAATAGATTTTTCTGGCAACAATTTTCTACGCATCCCTTAGGATGGGAACATTTTAGAGCAGGAAGGAAACCTTCAGGGCCATCTAACTGTCCCATTATGTCTCAGAGTAGGGGACTTGAGGTGAAGATGCTGGTTTTCCTGAGTCCACACAGGTAGTTATTGACAGTTGCTTTCTGGTCAGCTCAGGACTTCACCTGTCAGGCAGCAGGAACCCAAGGATGGTGGTGGGGGTGGAGCGAGGGTGGGGTGGTAGGTGGTGGAATGCACTGCTTATTACATGGGGAGGAAAACAAGTGAACCTGTTGGATTATTTTTGTTAGAGTTTTTTTTCTAGAACTTTCCCCTAGGCCCTCATACTTAGACTTTAGTGTTCCATCCCAGCCCAGCTGTGTTGTTTAAGCAAATTGGACCCAGATTTCTGCTCACTTTCCCACAACCTTGGCTGTACCTGGATCCCTGCCAAGCCACTTGGCACTCCTCCAGCTTTGTTCATATTATATTTATGATGTTTATATTAAACTGACTTTTGGTCATGTTTTTAAATCAATTTCTTTTACTTGCTCTCTTTCTGTTTGGATTGGTTGATAATGCAGAATTGGAAAATCCCCAGGCACCACAAACTTGTGAGCCTGTGGAGACTTTAATTAAAGTTACTCACTATTATGGGACTTTAAAATCTGGCCTGTCTGCTTTTTTCACTGCAGAGTTGCACAGAACAAAACAGACTATATGCAAGTCTCAGCTTTAAAGTAATTCTGCACTCTCTGGACCCTCTCCCTTGCAGCTACAGTTTGATAACCCTGTGGTCAGCTCAAACTTAGGACAAGTGTGTGTATTTCAGGTTCAAGAAAATACACTTTATATTTGATTTTTGCTGCAAATAATATCTTTTTCTGCTTCATTTCACAGAACTTTCCAACTGAAAATAATTGGCTTTCTACTCATTAACTTTTTTCCCTTAAAACATCAGTCTCTCTCTTTTTCCCTCTGGATCTAAATGATTGCCTATAGGCCACACCTGATGGCACTGCTTAGGGGCTGTTCCTCATTTTGCGTGGGGCTGCTGGACTCTGTGCTGGTCCTTGTCGTGTCTCAGGAAGTGGCTGGTGATTGAATGAGGCCTGAAAGACACAGGGTGACCTGCTAAAATCCCAAGCTTAGAGAAGTGCAGAGTGTTGAGTAGCATATATCCAATACTTCAGAGCCAATTTAGTCTTAATCATTTTATGATTATAATCGTTTTAATTGCCTAATTCGTACAAGTCAATCATATTCTCCTCTTTGCTCAAACTAAGTTCAGTTGCCCAGGTGAGAAAGTGCATTAATAGATCCAAGATTAATTTTCCCTCGCAGATATGTAATTATTGGCTTAAAAAATGTTACTAACTATGATTCTTTTAGAAAGCTAAGTTAAAATATGTTAAAGTCTCATGATTTTCAGAACACCATGGCACTAGCTAATGAGCTTCATGATGAAGAGATTGCCAACCAAGGCTACATTTGTACAGAGGGTTCCTTAAATTGTGTTCCACAGAGCAGATACCCAGTTCTTTGAAAAATCAGATATATAGCAGCGTGGAGGGTAGTATTTTGTAAATAAGGGTAAGCTGAATTTAGGTGATTTGATACATTTTTTATTCCTTTATTCCACAAATATAATTTGGTGCCATTGTGTTTCTGGCCCTATTCTGGTTACTGGGATTACCAGGATGGGTGGGAAAAAACAAAACAAAACAAAACAAAACTGCCAGAAGCCACTATCCAGGAAGGAGACAGTCATGTAAACCTCTGATTGTAACATTATATGACAATAATAGTTACTATTTACTGACTTACATTTATGTGCCTTCCTATATTCCTCCTAACAGTCCTACAGAGTATTATTTTTGTCTTAACACGAGGAAACTGAGGCCTAGAGGGTTAAGTATCTTGCTCAAGCATGCACAGCTAGTAACTACTGAAGTCAGGCTTTGAATTGGAATCTGGTAATACTTTCCGCACTAGGCTACCTTCCACAGATGCTCTAACAGAGATGTGCACCTGCGGTTTCTGGATTGACAAGAAAGTTCCAAAAAATCACCCACCTGATTAACACCAAATTATCTTTGCTTTCTTGCTTCTGGGGTAGCTAAAAGGCTACTTTTGCTCCTGACAGTTCTGTGCTGTGTGTCCTCTCCCACCAGAAAGTGCAGAATGATTTATTGTTCTTTCACAATTCTTGAGTCTTGGCTAGGCAATGGGTTGTTGCTCAGGTGTTGGGGTAGCGTCATGATGGGAACTGGGTAAGAAGTACGGAACGGAGTATGTCTGAGCCCTAAAAATGAAGGAAGGGCCTGGGAAGGGGTATGTGAGAAGGGAGAGCAAGAAGAAGCTCAGTGAAGATGAGGTGGTGGGGGATGGGGACTCTGAGGAGCAGTGGCTGTGGGGCTGGCTGTCAGTTTCAGTTTTGTCCCAGTGGGTTTGCTGCCAGGAGTCAGGGAAGCCTGCCGTAGTCTTTTCCCTGGGCCGACACTGCTGTGGCTGCATCCAGAGCATTGGCAACAGGGCTAAGTCCTCGTGCCTATTTCCACTTCCTTTTGACCACAGCCAGGGCCTTAAAATGGTCCAAAGTGTATAGAGGATGAAGGGAGGATAACAAATAGACAGGAGAGTGCTTAGGAATGGTTGGGAGGTGAGGAAGACAACGTTTCATACAATTTTAATATTTATACTGGGTACAATTTGAATTTTCTGATCAACTCATAAGAGGACGAGACATCATCATTATTATTATTAGCACTAGTAGTAATAATATTAATACTATCATACTAATAATGGTACTCTTAGTATAATAGTAGTGATGAAAATTTTTGAGGAGTGTTTTTGGGTTCCTTCATATCTAAACATTTACACATGTCGGGGGATAGAATAGTTTATTATCTTTGACTTCCTGATAATGCTTGAATAAGTTATAGGCATTACAAATTTTCCTTCACTATTTTGTGGCTAGTGGTTTGGAATATTTCCTTTCTAGGAAGGCAAGATTCAACAAAGCAAACAATTCCTAAGGTAATGTTCTGTCATCTGGAAGGAAAAAAAGTGATTTTCCTCAGAGTGAAATGTAGTTGGATAAATAAGTTCTCAGGAAGATATTTTAACGAGAAAATCCAGTTTGTAGCATATGGAAACTTGAACAGTTTTTGTTATCATTAAACTGAACACACCACTAACTTTATTTTAATAATTCATGCATTGTTTCATAAACAAAAGCAAACAAGCATTCATCTGAGAGATCACTTTTAGGAGAAGAAATATAATTTATAATTTTATTTATTATTTCTTTAGTGGAGAACAGTCTCTTGGCTGAACACACGTTGCTTTTTTATTTATGAAATGGCACATGCATTATTAAAATAAACCCACAACTGTGTTCTGCTTAATGATATGCAAAATTATTTGAGGTTGGGTACAGAGTGGTTTCATTTCTCTACCTGTTGTATGGTTGGCTGGCTTTCTCACCAACTGTGGATTTATGAGAGCATTTAAGGAGCATGTATTTAATTCTGGGACCCAAAATCCCCAGCAGATTGGAAAATAAAAACAGAATTTCTAGTAATGGTTTCACCTTAGAGCAGTCCTTGAGTAAGGAGGGTGGAGAGGGGAAGCATTCAGCAAAGAAAGGGATGCGTCTCTCCATGTTGGACACAGGCAAAGACGCAGAGACAAAGGCTTTGTTCCCCCTGGCTCCCATACAGTGCTACTCTCAGGCAATTCTTTGGAGCCCTGCTCCTGGCTCCAGCCCACCTCGTGTGTCCTCCATGGCTCCTTGATTCCCTCCAAGTACTTATAAAGTCAGATCCGGCAACTCAGGTTCTATTCCTTTCCTGTCTCACCTGCTTTGCTTTGAGCAACAATTTGAGAGAAAATGACCTCAGATGTACTTGAAGTTGGATTTTCTTTGTTATCCAATAAAATATATCATGAAGTTTTTTTTTTTTTAAAAGAGTATTTATTGAGGTTCCAGAAAATGTGTGTTCAACACTTTGGATAGTTATTATAAAAATACTGGAGGAATTTTATTTTTTTTTATAGCTCATAAATGCTTTGGGTTGGCAGGCATTTCGGAGAAAGTATGATGTGAAGGGCCAATTGCCCAGACGGAGTCATTTACCCAAGTGTTACAGGAAATGTAGATTCAATGGACCAGTGAATCTGGTCCCACTTGATTGTACACATTGTGACAATGACAGTGTCGGAATGGGAGGGATGAAATACTCGCCTGTCATTTTATGGCATGGTAGCATATGGGTTATGAACAGCAGGACTCACCTTGTAACTGCTGCAGGATGGTCACCAAGTGATTTATATGATAAGCTTCGTATTGGGTGAGGAGCAGACAACGTTGCCCCAAAATAACTTCATGCCTTCTTAAGAATAAAATTCCCCCATTATAGGACCATGTTTCTGAATCTATAAAATACTATATTTAAAACATCTTCTTCTGAGAATAGCTTAAAGCAGAATGGGTACCTGTGGATGTGTCCTTGGAGTCCCAGGAAAGGGCAGAACAAGGAAGGACATGACCATGACGGCTTGCCTGAGACAGTCTTCTCCATCACAGTTCTCCTTGGGGAATAGCATCTTCTGGATTTATGGAAATAGGTTAGGATTCCAGAATAATCTTGCTTTCTTGATTTCTCTATAAGAAAAACAGAATAAGATAATATTTGCAAAATGCTTTCTGATAGAAGAAAATATATTAAATTCACCAAGTCTCTCTTTCCTCTCATGGGCCTTCAGAGTTTTTTAATATGGTTCTTGGCAGCTTTATTATCCCCATTCTCCAAATTGAAAGCCCATCCATGGAAACAGAAGGTCGTTCTCTGTAGAGCGGATAGTGGGCGCATATTGAGATGGAAACCAAGAGAAGGTTTTGGCTCTTTTCCATCAGAACCACTGTTGTCACCAAACCTTGACGGGAAAAATACTTCTGGATTCCTCTGGTTCTTAGGATATTAAAATATTTGTATGCTGTCATTCATCTTCTCTAAAAATGCCTTCTTATTTTCTTGTTTGTATAGGGAGCTGTGGTCATGGTGGCGTGGTGAACATCAGCAGACCATCCGTGGTTCAGCTCAACTGGAGAGGATTTGCTTATAAGTACGGTGCCTGGGGCCGGGATTACTCTCCCCAGAATCCAGACAATGGGTTATATTGGGTGGCGCCACTGAATACAGATGGGAAACTGCTGGAATATTACAGACTCTATAACAAGCTGGATGATTTGCTGTTGTATATAAATGCTCGAGAGAATCGGATCACGTATGGCCAAGGTGGTGGTACAGCAGTTTACAACAACAACATGTATGTCAACTGGTACAATACCCGGAACATTGCCAGAGTTAACCTGACCACCAACACGGTTGCTGTCACTCAAGTTCTCCCTGATGCTGCCTACAATAACCGTTTTTCATATGCTAATGTCGCTTGGCAAGATATTGACTTTGCTGTGGATGAGCATGGGTTATGGGTGATTTATTCAACTGAAGCCAGCACTGGTAACATAGTGATTAGTAAACTCAATGACACCACACTTCAGGTGCTAAAGACTTGGTATACTAAGCAGTATAAACCATCCGTTTCTAATGCCTTCATGGTGTGTGGGGTTCTGTATGCCACCCGTATTCTGAACACGAAAACAGAAGAGATTTTTTACTACTATGACACAAACACAGGACAAGAGGGCAGACTAGACATTGTAATGTATAAGATGCAGGAAAAAGTGCAGAGCATTAACTACCACCCTTCTGACCGGAAACTTTTTGTCTATAATGATGGTTACCTTCTGAATTATGATCTTCTCTTTGGGCAGGAACCCCAATAAGCTGTTTAGGTGCTAGAGTGAGAGAGAAAGAAAATGTTCATTGAAAGAATATTCTACTCCACTTATTTAGGTATCTGCAGGGGAATCTAAAGTGTGTTTGTTTAGTAGCAATATTTGGGTACAGAGTTCTTACATACTAGAGACCTAGGATATTTGCCCTGATTTGATGAGTCTTGTGGGTCATCCACCTCATGGGATGCATTTTTCAACTGAAAATAAGGTCCTTACTTATTTCAGTTGGGATTGTCTTAGGGGCATTATGGGCCTAATGTAACCTCTAGTGATTTGACATCTGGAAATTAAGGATCTTAAATTGAACTCAGATGGCTTCTGGAATTTTTTTTTTTTTTTTTTTTTTGTAGAGGAAAGGTTGCTCAATGATTGGGCCTCTCCTTGGAGCTCTGCAAATTTTTTCATGCCTGAAAGGAACCTGGGGCTTGATTAGGCAGATTACTATCTGGAGCTCCTTGAGAGACCAAAACTCCAACTTTTTTTTTTTACTCACTAGCATCTAGAATGATGCTTTGTTTGTAGCAGATAAGTAAATCTGGCATGCTTCTATTGTATCTGTAGAGTGCTCTGAGTTTTCTGGAGAAAGGCCCTTTTATGCATTAAATTGAACACTGCAAGTAAATCCCAGAAGAATCTGCAAGCACTTCATTTTCTTTTCTCTCATTGTCCACCCATATAAGAGTCAGTAGAACTCTCTACCTCAAAACTTCCTTCCAAAGGCAGCTCAGAAGCTTAGAACCAGACCTACCAGCCAATTCCTCCACACTCTCTCTATTGCCTGCTTTTAAAAAAGTAACTAGTTTTCTGTGGAACAGATATAGGATTAAACATTTAATTTTCTTTTATCTCATCATGAACTTTTATTTGCATGGCTCTAAGACTACAAGAAAGTCAGATGGCAGTGATAAACTGATGGCATTTCTTGTTATATAGCAAAGACCTTGGAGCATGTATGAGTCTTGTATTAAATCATTACATTGTTTCATGCAGTTGCCTTTAAGCTTGGAACTTGTGAGAAAATGGAAATTTAATTTTTTCTTCTAGAAAGAGATGCAGAAAAGCCATTGATAGTGTCCAGTTAATCAGTGCAATAGTTGAAACATTGCAGGTGTATGTGCTTCTGAATGGCTTTATCATTTGTTCTTGGTCTATTTTCCTTTGATGTTCAAATCCTAAGTCTGTAGGATTGGCTCCTTAAATGCTTTACTTCTCCCTTTTAACACATGAGTAAAATGTGCTTTGAAAAAAGTCATCTTTTGTTTTATTTACTTTTTAATTTAAAAAGCTCCAACTCTTAACAGGGTACTCTGTATCTTACATGCCTCCTAAGACACCAGTGACTGGGAGATCACATACCTAACAGCAGATAATATCCATAACTTTTAAAAGAGTCCAAAGTCAGACTAGTGCTTCAGTTTTCCTTTCCCTTTACAATCCATTCTTTCTGGCAGCTTTTATTGTATGAGGCCGCCCTATTATCTTTTGGGATATGACCTTATGTACTTATTAATTTGCATGACTGAGCTGATTATTTCCAATGCTAGACTACATTTATGTGGCTTATGTTCCTTTTCCAACTGAGCTATTAACATGGATCAAAAGCCTCCACATCTTCCCCAAATAGAGATCTTGGGGAGAAAGCAATAGGACTAACTGGCTGTATCAGGAAGAGAAGTGTCTTTACCAAAGAGAATGTGAAGGGGGACAGATGACCTAGAACTGGAAGGATAGATTAGCCTAATGTAGTTAGTCTAACTGAAATGCTCATTTTTAACCCAATGCCAAGCTTTTTGAGCCAGGTGACAGCTATAATATTTAGCATTTTTAGCAAGATATTTTTTCTCTATCTTCTCAGGGCTGACAGGTATGGCCTTCAAAGTGCAACAAGATATGAAGATAAAGACATGTACATCATGTGAGATATAAGTTAAAAGCAGTAATGTTATATTTAATCTGGCTCTAGGCAATTTTCCAGATGAATGTTTCTAGCAAGTACACAGTATGACCTCTGAAGATTCAGGAAAGAAGGCAGGAAGCCAAGGTAACCCTAGCAATCAGCTTCTTATTGAACGACCACAGAAACATTTGCCTGAAAAAATTCCCTTCTGAACCTCCTTCCCACTGGATGCGGTGTATCAGCCTGCAGGAAATCTCCCTGCTGGGAAGCTTGAAAACGGAGAGATTCAGGCTCCTGGGTTTACTGCAGAGCAGGGACACAATGAGCATTTTAGCTCAAGATTCCTCAGTTAGTGCCTGCTTGAGATTTATATACACAGTTACATATATATTTATTTTAGAAATATAAATTACATAAGGCATAATTTACATGTGGCAACATTTGCTAATTTTAAGTGCATAATTCAATGAATTTTGACAAATATGGAGTCATGTAAAGGCTACCACAATTAGGAAATAAAGCATTTCTGTTACCCATAAAAAGTTCTTTTGTGTCCTTTTGTAGTCAACTCTTACTCCCACCCTCTAGTCTCTGGCAACCACTGATATTTTTTGTACCTATAGGTTGGCTTTTCCCAGAATGTCATGGACATGGAATTATATAGTGTGTAGGCTTTCGGGCTTGGCTTTTTCAAAAAGAGAACTAGTGGGTTCAAAATACTTCAGAGGGTAACTGGGCATCACCAGTGCTCTTGGGGTCCTCTGCATTTTTATGATCTTTCTTGAGATTGTGGCAAGCTGTGGTGACTTGCTGCCTTTAAAAGTGTTCCCTTTGTGGCCTGAAGTGACTGTGGGAGGGGTCTACCCCTGGGCATCAACCAAACATTTCAGTACCAGCCTTGTTCAAAACTTGTTCTCCAATCTCTACCCCTGTGCCTCAGCCATCCCTACCCAGGTGAGTCCTGATTTTAATTAATGATGCATGGAGTGGTTATGAGTGCAGGATTCATAGTCTTGCAAAACTGGAATTGACTCATGGTTCTATTGCTTCCATGTGGTGTGGTTTTGGGTAGATGCCTTAACTTTTCTGAGACTTCATGTCTTTTTCCATAAAATGGGATAAAACTTCATAGTTCTATTGGGCGAAGTAAATGATATCAGGTAAGTAAAATGGCTAGGAAAGTCCTTGGCTCATACTTTTCTCTTCACAAAGAGTTTTTTTTTAAATCCCTGTTTCACATTTTGTATTTTAGGTTCAGAACAGTCACTGGGTGGACAAGATATAACTCTAATTGGGATCAGAGTTTACGTTTCCACCTAGATTAGCTGTTACAACTAGTGACTCTGAAGCAGGTGCCATTTTGGCAAGAAAGAGTTCCAAAGGCTGGGACATCTCCTCTTTGTCCTCAACTCCAAGAGTAACCCCGAGAGCTGAAATTTCTCTACTTTGATTCCAAAAGACTGACTAATGTGAGCAGTAGAAACAAAACCTGTTTTCCATTTCTTTTGGGCCACTGACAACCTAAATGAAGCCTGGCTTTCATCAACCCTCTGGATAATACTAAAATAAATGCATATGTTTTCCTATTTGCTTTGCTGTAGTCAACAAGCATATCAACCTTTTCAGAACAGAGATGGGTACTTATTTTATAGTCCACTTTTAGTAAAATAGATTTAATCTTTTAGGGTTTGTTTATATCACCAACCTTAAAAGTATATTTATTTTTCTCTTCTTCTTGTTAATGGACCACTGAAAGGGAAAGCCACACCCTCTATCCGTGACTGTGTGGGCCACCTTCAGCATGATGTAGGGAGGTTCTGGACCTGAGCCTTCTGTCATCTCAAACAGATGTCATGCCACAAAGGGTGATTAGCCTTCAGTGCTCCAGAATGTTCTGGAACAACAAAAGGGTAAATTGTGACACATCAGAAAATAAAAGGCAGGCATGTTTCTAAGGCACGCTCTTAGCCAGTGGAATAGACCAGCTGGCCTGGCTCATTGGTGAGAGATGCTATTTGAGCTGTCAGTTAGGCTGCCAGACCCCACATCTGTAGCTCAGGATGCGCCCACTTGTCTCTGAGATCTGCATCTGCTCCTGGAACTCATTCAGAGAGAATAGCCCTTGGAATCAAGGTCCATGATGGCGAAAATGGCATTTAGTCTGTCCAAAAGGGAGGCTTCTTAGTGTTACTCCTGGACCTCTTGGGATCAGGAGTTCCACCATGAGGATGATTTCTCAGACTTTAGCCACTCTGAGGACTGTTAAAGAAAGACTTGTGATGTGTTTAAGGACTTCCAAGTGGTTTGGCTGGAGCTCAGTGTACGTGGAGGGTGGCAGAGGATGGGGATTAATAGATGGGCAGGGCCTAGGCTTTGTATGCCATCAAAGGAAACTGATTTCTGTACCTCCATCCACAAATCTCTCAAATCTCCTCTTTCCCCCGGTTTTACTGTGGTAGAACTGACAAGCAAATATTGCATATATTCAAAATGCACAATGTGATGCGTTGACACAATACCTTGTGAAATGATTTTCATCATTAAGCTAATGAACACATCAATTGCCTCACATTGTTACCAAATCTCCTCTCTTTTTAGTTAGATTCTGCCAACTTGTATTCTTTTGGGTTGTGACCAATGTTATATATCAGTATTACTGGTGATTTACTCTGACTTTCACCTTGGTGGCTGTTATCAGTCAGGGTTCAGTGTAAGAAACACATCTTTTAACCGGAGTGCTGCTAACTGCCATAATTAGGTAAACCTTACCACTTTAGTGCTTAGCTCAAGAAAAAACAACAGGTTTTTTTTCTCCCTCACTTCAGGGACCACAGTTTTCATCCTTTTTTCCTGTGGTTGCTACTTCTTTTAATATCTCCCAATAACTTTCTTTCCCCCTTCAAACCCCAGTTGTGTTTTTTTCTGGTGCCATCATGATGGGAGAAAGTTTCTCTTCCAAGTTGACTCTCTTCCAAGCAGTGATTCAGGGACCCAGATACATTCCATCTTGTGTCTCCACCATCTCCACACATAGCTTCCAAGGTAAGTATAATCATTTATGTCAAGCCACTAGAAGGAAAAAGAACAGGAAGAATCTTATGTGAGAAGTTGGTTTAGGTCTGGTGTGAAAGTGACCCTACTTACATCAGCATAGGGTCACACCTAGCTGTAAGGGAGGCTGGGAACATATAGCCTAATGGGTGCACAGGAGTTTAAAAAAAATGGGTCAATGACCAGCCAGCCAGTCTGCCTTATTATATGTATTAGTTATTATAAGGAAGAAATTATTTAATACAGAGAATTAGGAACTTATAAAATCATTGGAAAGACTGGAGATGTAGCAACTACAGGCTGC